CAGAGTTCGGGGATGAAACGGTGAAATGGGGTGAAATACAAAAACTATAGGACATACAGCAAAACGATGAAGGAATTATTTGTAGCAAAAATTATAAATGAAAATTTGAAAAAAGAAAGATAAACATTTGACCAATATTTCATGATATATCGCTGCTCGACATGGATATTTTCACCCCCATCACCTATATATATATATTTTCTTCTTATGAAAATACTCGATAACTATTTAAGTGTATTGGAACAAGGAAAAAATTCAAAAAATAATTTTTTCAATTTTTTTCTTTTCTCAACCGTTTACGGTGCTGTAGGGGATGAACCGTAGGGGGTGGAGGCAAAGTGCAAACGATATTTTTTGCAGAAAATTGTATCTTCTATACTTTTTATTTGACACTTTTTCCGATGTCTTTCGTTGTTTTCGAGCTATTCTCGAAAAATGCATTTAGGGGGCAGTTTCTCGTATTTTTCTCACCCTCGCCGGGATGCACGAACCCTGTGTCTACTCAAAAACTTTTAGTTAAGCTAAAGTCTAACGATTGGGCCAATTCGCAGGGACGTAGGTAAAAATTGAGAAGTTGAAGCTAGTTTGACTGGACTAATTGGGGAATTTGCAACGCGCCATGTGTAGATATGATTACTTATTCTATAATGGGGAGTATATGATTATGCACTTGATGATCGTGTCGATTTCCATGTGTTGAAAGACTCCGTGGAATTGCATCCATGTTCAATTTTAAAAGGTTGACAATAGCATGTGTGCAAAACTTTTGTGCGGACTTAACCCAAATTCACAAATGAATGGTGTAATTTTTTTGTGTATTTAAAGGGTGTGGAAATCAAGCATGTGTACTTTCAGTGATGTGCCAATCTTTTTCATGGACAACTGGAGGTGGACAAAGTTAGAGCACACGTTGGTCTGTGTGGAGTTCTAAGCGGTGCTGTGCCCTCTTGTGGAGAAAAAGCGTGTGCTCAAGTGGACATTTAGGCTCTGACCCAACCTTTTTCTGGCCATGATCAATACTGCCAATGGTGTTATCACATATTTTACCGACTGAACAAAAAATTGAGAAACAAAAGTTTTTTTGGTTGCTGAGAAACGCGACGAGCTTACTGGCTCAGTAACTAGTGCAAAAACCGCTTTGCATTTTCAGATTTTCACTGACCGATAATTAACATGGTGAAATAATAACCGAATTGGAATATTCCATAAAAAAATTAATAAATCCTTAGAATAAAGGAGAATAACATTCATCGAAGCTACCAATATATCGTTGAACAATTTGACATGAATATCCTATACTCTATGAAAAATATTGTTTTATCGCTAATTTCATGTGAAAAACTGAAAATTCACACATCTAGTTTCATTCAACATTCAGGGATCTGTTATAGAAGAAGCCCAGAAGAAGTGATAATCCTTTTCTTGACATGTTTTTGCTTCCGAATGGAAGCATTGAAATCGTTCGATTTTTCTTTTCTCTAATTTTGCCTGTAAATGATGTAAAATTGTCTGAAACGTAAAAATACGAAGTTTGAGGACCATGTATGTATGTGCGCGTGGTCAACTTGATCCACTTGATGGTCAATTTTTAGAAAATTGAACGAATAAAGGGCTAAGATGATTCCACAAAATTTGAAATTTTGTGAGATTATAGGTGTTAATGAGGACTAAGTCTGTGCTAAAGTTCAGCTGAATTGGTTCAGCTATTTTTCGAAATCATCATTTATTTTTAAATGGTTTTTTGCAAATATCCCGGAAAATATCCAACCGATTTCAATTTTTTTTTCAAAATACTCGTCTTGATATCTTCTATCGCAATCTATCGAAATATCTATACCCATTCATACGAAGTTTTCAACATACATACATGGTCCTCAAACTTCGTATTTTTACGTTTCAGACAATTTTACATCATTTACAGGCAAAATTAGAGAAAAGAAAAATCGAACGAAATATCTTGATATTTCTACTTTTCACTGAAAACTTTCGTTAGCACTCTAGTTTTCCTCAAAATTGACATATTAACTTTGAATTAGGTACAAAGTTTCCTCGTGGCACTAAAATGTTTGATATTGAAGATGGGCTAAATCGGAGGGATTTATATCCCAACCTATTTTCTTGAATATCTCGAAAACTACTCACACGTTTTGAATTTTTTTTCCAAAATACTCGTCTTGATGTCTTCTATTGCAATCTATCAAAATATGTATACGGGGTATTCCATGTGAATTCACCCGGTCAAAACCCTCACCATCGCCAATCATATTGCCGATTTTTCCTGTGGTTGTATATGGAAAAATATGACTTGTCAAATTTTTTCAGATTTTTTGAAGCATCCTGTGGACAGCTATGTTTTTTGAAATTTTTACCTTTAAATGCCTGCAACTTCCGTAAAAGTCAACCGATTTGAGTTTTTTTTTACAAAATGTCCGTCTTCGAACACACTTTCCATATAAAAATATGCCGATTTTTTTCAATTCGATCTTCCATCGATTTCTTCAGAAAAACCTCAAAAAACTTCAAAAAACGAGTCGTTTTCAAAGTTGGTCACGTTTTATATTTTTCAAAAAATTTCAGTGAATATATTGGACCAAAACAAAATTTTTCACCAAAGGCCAAAGTGGGCTTCCCATTTCGTGGCCGTCATTTCCAATTTGAATATATGAATCCGGGATGAAAAATTTCAAAAATTTCAAAATTCTTTTCGCATTTGAACGCAGAAGCATTATTTGAATTTACCGCCTGAAGAATCACTGCATTATATTCGAATCTGGAACAATTTGATAATTTTTTGAAAATTCGTTAACAATAAATCTTTTCGAGTGGTGTGTTCTAATAGAGATCCCACTTTGGCCTTTGGTGAAAAATTTTATTTTTGTGCAATATATTCACTGAAATTTTTTGAAAAATGTAAAAAGGGTCCAATTTTGAAAACGACTCGTTTTTTGAAGTTATTTGAGGTTTTTCTGAGGAAATCGATGGAAGAACGAAATGAAAAAAATTGGCATATTTTTATATGGGAAGTGTGTTCTAAGACGCACATTTAAAAAAAAAACTCAAATCGGTTGATTTTTATGGAAGTTACAGGCATTTGAAGATAAAACTTGCAAAAAAACATGGCTGCCCACAGGATGCCTTAAAAAATCTGAAAAAATTTGAGGAGTCATATTTTTCCATATACAACCACAGGAAAAATCGGCAATATGATTGGCGATGGTGAGGGTTTGGACCTGGGTGAGTTCACATGGAATACCCCATACCTATTTCTATTTTTCTGTTTTTCGCTGAAAATTTTTGTTAGCACTTTAGTTTTCCTAAAAATTGACATATTAACTTGAAATTTGGTACAAAGTTTTCTCTTGGCACTAAAATATTTGGTATTGAAGATGGGCTAAATCGGATGGATAGTTTAGGAGACATTCGACTCTGTATCCAAATCTATTTTCTTGAATATCTCAAAAACTACTCAACCGATTTCAATTTTTATGTCAAAATATTCATCTTAATGTCTTCTATTCCAAACAATTGGAATATGCACAATTCATGCGAAGTTGCCGAGAAATTCAAGTTTTTCGATTTTTCGCTAAAAATCCGTCTTTTCTTGAGAAGATCCGGTAATCCGCGATTCTAACCTCGCTTCGCTCGGTTTGATCGCGGTTTACGGGCCTTCTGACGAAAAATTGCATTCACCACACGGTCCAAAAGTATTTTCTGACGAATGTGATTATAGGCCTCGCCTTCGGCTCGGCCTACAAAGCCACATTCGTCAGAAAATACTTTGTGGACCTTGTGATGAAAATAACTATTGCACTCTAACTTTGGAAAAAATTGACATATTAATCTGAAGTTTGGCACGAAGTTTCCTCTTATTTTACTTGAAAATTGAGAAAATCGGAGAATTTGCATCTTACAGAAACTGAAATTTTTTATTCACCATAAAACAGAATGTTTATTTTCTTATTATTTTTTAAATATAGAATTGCAACGGATCCATTCGATAGGTTACTACCAATGAAATTGGTAGAAATGAAATATAAAAAGACTAACAACGCATAAAGAAACAATCATATCTCTTCAGTCGAATAGGCTCGGCCCCCCGTTTGTTTTTCCAACTTATCCAGGTGTGTTTCTTCGAAACGACTTTTTTCGTTTTCAATTTCGACGTTTTTCTTGGGCCTTGAAATTTCGATAAAACAATTGAACACTATCAGGCAAAGGGGGGGGGGAGGGCGCAAGGTTAGAGGTTATTTCAGTCCCCAAGAAACACGTCAAAAACCAGAACAAAAAAATTCGTTTCGAAGAAACATACCCAGACAAGTTGGAAAAAAATCATGCCAAGAAAAGCGCTATTACTAACGGTGGGCAGTGAAACAGCTGACGAGGATTTCACCAATATTTACTTACAAAATAATGATAAAACTTGGACAGTCGAGGTTTCCCATGGTTATTGAACACCAAAATTGCTTTTATCATTTTATAAGTCTTAAATATCAATTTCGGGATGACGAATGTATATTTATATTATTCGCTTTATATTATTTCCTCCTGCGCTCAAACACACTCTGACATGAATTCCAACCATAGACATATAATACCCAGACCGCGCACAGAGATTATAGGGGAGATTCCCAGCGCTTGGTTGGGGACAAAGAGGATTGACTAAAGTAGAGGCTCAGATCTCGGGGTTGGACTGACCCCAAAGAGGATTGACTAAAATAGAGGCTCAGATCTCGGGGTTGGAGTGACCCCAAGCGAAAAATAGTTCGACCCCAACGGAGGGATGGCGCTACGGTCGAATCTGACGGCTGGGCGAACTGCCTGTGCGGGTAACTCGGCAGTAGCCAGTAGCAGTCCCGCCAGGGGGTCGTCACTTCAAGTACCCCCTCCACCTGCTAATCTCAATGGTACGATCTGGTAATAACTAGTTTTTTGTTTTTTTTTTGTGGTCACCATGAGTGGTATGTGAGCACCTTCACGGCCGTCTAGACGCTGGTGGACGCCATATTGTTTGGAAACTCTACTGTGTTGTGACGTTTATTTTGTATGGAGAAAATAAAAATAAACAACAATTGAGAATATGAAAGATGAAAACAATGCAGCAGTGTGAGAAATAAATTGAGGTAATTGTTGATAGAAATTATGCATTTGATAATTATCAAGCTTTGTAGAAAAATTAATTCGTTTATGAGACAATTAGAGGTTACATGTGATCTGGCAGATGTATTCTTTCATTTTCATCCTTGATCACGACCTTATTTGGGTAGATAATGCCGAAAAATTCGAAATGCGTGGTGCCTCATTGGGGGCATGCACAACAGAAGAATAAAGATTGTATTTACGCGAAATTTCCCCGAGAAGTTGAAAGGTTGATTGATATTGGTGGTGATAATTGAATATGGTATAACTGATCCAAATTTGTTTGTTCAGATGCAAGAAATGGGTACAGGCTGTAGGCGTAGAGGACCTCACAATAGAGAAATAGAGAAGCAATAGAGAAGCTCAATGGGATATGCTACGTCTGTGGATGCCACTTTACTCCCGATCAATTTTGTCATCCCTCGAGGAAAAAACTGAAGATGACAGCTGTCCCATCACTGTTCGATCCTCGAGTCATTCCTCTGGCCGATGAATTGTTGGAGAATTTTCCAATCCTGAATGTTCTGAAGATTCCGATTGAAGGTATGTATCGTTGAATTCCCGAATAACTTATAATAGTCGAAAAAACCTGATAACTAAGAAAACACATAGGCTAAAAAAGTTGGGTGCGAATTTTCAATATTGTGGAGAGTAATTAATCATTTATATGATTTCACTGATTATATTTTTATTTCACAGCTAAAAGAATCCTGTTGACTCCCGATTCCCCGACTTTGCCGCCTAATTTGAAAAACATCTGTAGGACCAACACTAACACAAATGATTTAATAAAGCGATTAGGTGAGTAAACAATTCATTAAAGTAACTCATCCGTCACCTACAGTTTCCTACTTATCACACTATATATTTAAAGAATTCTAATTATTGAATTTTTTAATTAAATCGCCTGAGAAGTTTTTTAATTTCACTTTGGATGCATGCACTGTTTAAAATTTAAACAGTGGAATTTATCATTTTTAAACATTTTTTTTTTCAAACAAAGAATAGTTGATGGAGAAAAAAAAATGGATTATGAAACTAATCAAGTATTCAATTATCTCTGAAAAACATAGGATAAATGTTCAAATAGAGCTAATTTAATAGAAAATTTTATGAATATTGTCTGGTAATGGCATCTACCTTGTGTACTGTTTAGTAAATATGGAAATTTAAGAAGAAGCTAAAAATTTATCATATCAAGACGGTGATTTACTTTTTGGTTAATTTGTCATAACTATACCACTGTTTTTCAGACTCTCTATTTTACAGTTGTGATGCACTGTTGGAAACTTAGACACCCCCCCCCCTTCGCATCACCATCACCAGGATAGAGCTCTGTCCAATGATCTCCAATTCGGGCATCCAATGTCCTGATCACTTGTCGAAGGGTTACAGCATCCCCAGCGCCTCGCATCAGCAACGCCAGTACCCATCTTTGTCCAGTAAACCCCACGGTCTTGTTTACTTATTGAAGGTTTAGAGCACCCCTTTACTTCATCAGCAACACCAGGATTCAACTCAACCAAGATGCAATGGCCGTTCATGCGAGGATCCAATGTCCTGATCACCCGGCAAAGCCTTACAACATCCCCAGTACCTCGCATCAGCAACGCCAGTACCCATCCTTGTCCAGTCAACCCCACTGTCTTGTTTACCTATTGAAGGCTTACAGGACCCCCTGTACTTAATCAGCAACACCAGAGTCCAGTTCAACCAAGATGCAATGACTCCCCAGCAACTCCCAACATGACAATAATCTGCAACACTCGTGTAAAGATTCCAGGAGATACATACGCCAAAGATTAGCGAAGTCTCTACCACGTTATGAAAAAACGAAGTTCATCCTTGACAACTGTTCAGAACAATTGGATCCAGAAATACAAGACTATTCGAAACAATGCTATACTCGTCTTGATACAGTTCTTCGTCAACTCTAGTATAGCTATACAGGATTATTTTGTGTGCATGAAGAAACTGATCAGGAGCCTGTTATTAGTAACCCGGCTTACACAAGATGCAAAGAGGGTCATGAAGAAGTTATCATTAATTCATCAGACCAGAAGAGGCTGAAGAAGCTGATGGGGATTCTCATCATGAACTTTCGGACTGCGTTGTCTACTTTCAATTTTATGATATCAATTTATCGTATCAATAAGTTGTACGTTGATTGTGATTCTCTGTGTTATAAATGTCATGTCAGGATGAACCAGAATATCCCATGTGAGGAATATTCTGCAATATTTATAGCGTCTTAAATAAGGCCAGTACTTTTGTTATATCTGTAAATTTATATTCCGATTGATTTCATTATAAATTTTGAGATACTTGTTACTGTATAGTTATGTTACATACTATTTGGGTATCAGTCCAGAGTTAAAGTTTCATAAGTATATAAATAGGTTTATGATGTTATTCGTTTTATTCTTTGATAATAATAATAATAATAGATAATAATAAATACGGAGTCAGGAACTTTATATCAAAGTTTTCCCATTGTCTAAAAAAAATAAAAATGAGACCCAAATGTGGAGATTTTTTTTTATTCATTTCTGTCATCAATTCCGGTCCTTCATATGATCGAAGCATTCAGTTGTGAAGAATTTGATTAATCAATCAAATCAAGATCGGCTCTCGGTCATAAATTCAGAGAGGTCCATTTTGTCCCATCTGCCCTCAGTACATTCCTTGAACATTGTTCTAATTACTCAAACCAAGTAGCCAACACAGAATTTCTAGTACTTTTTGTCACTAGGTTGGCAACTCTGAGGTACCCTGGGACAGAAAAGCTAGTATACATTTTACATTGAGTGTCTACCCCCTGAGGCCCGCTGTCTCAGGGATAGTTTCGGAGGGAAATTTATGCCCTGCTCGTCCTCGACATGTTCTTAATGTTTTTCAGGTGATTCATTTGCTGGGTAATTGATATTAAGGACTGAAACACAGACAGTGTGACGGAGAATTAAATTCCCCATCAATCGATCCACGTTGCATTCCTTAATCTCTGTAACAAAAAAATACAAACTACGGGAAAGTCATGGGCCAGTGAGAAAAATAATTTTCTTCTCGGCGTACAGTGACTTTTCACCATTCGCCCGCGAATTAAAAATTCACTTCTCCCCTCCTAATTGAGATTAAGGAATGAAAAAAAAGTAGTTCGATGGAGAATTAAATTCCCCATCAATCGATCCCTGTTGCATCCCTTAATCTCTGTAACAAAAAAATACAAACTACGACAAAAGTCATGGGCCAGTGAGAAAAATTGTAGTTTCGCGGCGCAGTGACTCCCGGTAATTAAAAATTCACCTCTCCCCTCCTAATTGAGATTAAGGGATGAAAAAAGAGCAGTTCGACGGAGAATTAAATTACCCACCAACTAACCCTCTTCCATCCCTTAATCTCTGTAAAAAATGGAAGAAACTGTCATGGAAATAACAGCGCAGTAAGGAAAATAATTGTTTTGCGGCGCACAGTGACTCCCGGTAATTAAAAATTCACCTCTCCCTTCCTAATTGAGATTAAGGGATGAAAAAAGGGCAGTTCGACGGAGAATTAAATTCTCCATCAATTAACCCTCTTTTATCCCTTAATCTCTGTAACAAAAGAATGAAAACTGCCAAGAAAGTCAGGGGCCAGTAAGAAAAATAATTTTTTCGCGGCGCACACTGACTTTTCACCATTCGCCCGCGAATTAAAAATTCACTTCTCCCCTCCGAATTGAGATTAAGGGATGAAGAAATGGCAGTTCGTTCCCTTTTTTCATCTCTTAATCTCAATTAGGAGAAAAGAGGTGAATTTTCAATTACCGGGAGTCACGGTGCGCCGCAAAACAATTATTTTTCTTACTGTGCTGGGATTTCCCTGACTGTTTCTTCCATTTTTTAAAGAGATTAAGGGATGAAAGAGGGTTATTTGGTGGGGAATTCAATTCTCCGTCGAACTGCTCTTTTTTCATCCCTTAATCTCAATTAGGAGGGGAGAGGTGAATTTTTAATTACCGGGAGTCACTGCACCGCGAAACTACAATTTTTCTCACTGGCCCATGACTTTTGTCGTAGTTTGTATTTTATTGTTACAGAGATTAAGGGATGCAACGGGGATTGATTGATGGAGAATTTAATTCTCCATCGAACTACTTTTTTTCATTCCTTAATCTCAATTAGGAGGGAAGAAGTGAATTTTTAATTCCCGGGCGAATGGTGAAAAGTCACTGTACGCCGAGAAGAAAATTATTTTTCTCACTGGCCCATGACTTTGTCGTAGTTTGTATTTTTTTGTTACAGAGATTAAGGGATGCAACGGGGATCGATTGATGGGGAATTTAATTCTCCGTCACACCCTCTGTGTTTCATTCCTTAATATTAATTAGCCAGCAAATGAATCACCTGAAAAACATTAAGAACATATTGAGGACGAGGAGGACATAGGTTGCCTTCCGAAACTATCCCTATGACAGCAGAACTGCTACTGCCAAGTTACCCGCACCGGCAGTTCGCCCAGCCGTCAGATTCGACCGTAGCGGCATCCCTCCGTTGGTGTCGAACTACTTTTGGCTTGGGGTCAGTCCAACTCCGAGATCTGAGCCTCTACTTTAGTCAATCCTCTTTGAGCAGCCCCGCTGCGGGACTGAATTGCTATTTAATTTATCGTGCGACTCCTGGGAGACCACGGCTGAGATGTTGCAGAAAAAAATTAAGGAAGACTCGCTCCCAAAGATTCTGGATCTTGATATTTTTGAAACAGAAGAAATTTGAATTTTCGTAGGCATGGAATAATCGAACGAATTTTTCAATTACTAGGTTCTACAAACAGGGGTGGAAAGCTACGATAATATTTATAATCGACCAAAGGATTTTGAAAGATACGTATTTTTACGCTACAGTTTAACTATTTCAAAGATATAATAAATCTGTTAGTGCTTCATTGCAGAGTGAATTTTTAATTTCTCACACCTCTCGATAATGTTACACGACCACGTTGCATAACATTTTTTGCTTTAAAAATTTGAAACAACAATATTGTACATGTCAGCTTGAAGATTACATGATTCAGAGTTATGGAGAACAGATTTTACATGTTCAGAGTTGAATGCTACAGAGAAATAGTGTTTTTTCGCGCGCAATTAAATTTATGGGTTAAATAGAGTGGCTTCCTGTGATGGCACTTTTTGGCCTCAGTCGGCAACTTTTCCACCTCCCATTCGGCACTTTCTCGTGTGGGGCCGCGGCAGCACTGGTCCCGCTGTAACAGGGACAGGTTCGGAGGGGTATTTTTGTCCTCCTTGTACTCAATGTTTACTTTATGTTTTTCAGTTGACTTATTCGCCGACTAATTAATATTAAGGGATGAAACAAAGACTGTTCAATGGAGAATTAAATTCCCCATCCATCAAACCCCGTTTCATCCCTTAATCTCTGCAATAAAAAAATTAATATTGCGACGAAAGTCACGGCGCTATAAGAAACCCAATGTTTTCTCGGCGCAGAGTGACTCCCCA